CCGCCCTCCCGACGTTACAACGCCTGCTCTCCTTCTGCAGCCACTGCTACGCGGGATTGGCCGAAGAGTGCCCGGCTCCGTGCCGCTGTCTGGGGGAACGACTGGACTGCAGCCGCCTCAGACTGAGGAAAGTGCCCGAGCTGCTCCCCAGCGGGACGGTGCAGCTGTGAGTATGGGCGCTCCTCCGCGGCGGGGGGAACTGGCTCCTGCCTGGCGTCGAGCCTGGGCGCGGATCTCCGGCGCTAGGGGGTGCTCGGGGCTCCCTGCTGGGCCGACTAAATAGAGGCGCTGGAGGGGAACTAAGACTGGATCTTTGTTGGACTGTGTGCAACATGGGTGCTAGTGAGTAAGGCGGGGGGCCCCTTCCCTGTATTTTTGAGCAGAGAAGGACCCATAGATACGACTCTAGTCTTCAGCGCTATAGCTCTCCTCCTCATCCCCACAAATATCAGTTCCCCACCTCTCCCGTCGCCTTCTGCAGCCTGGTCCCAGCCTCTGGATCGCCTGGATGGAGATTCTAGGTCAATGACTGGAGATAATCTTGCAGAACTGCCTACACCTTTCTGGCCATTAGGGCTGGATTTCCACAGCTAGGCTAACGTGTCCTTGGCTAGATTATGTTTAAGTCCATTGCGTGGACCCAGCACTTGTGAATAGTTTGTGGATAGTTTATGTGTTGTGCAAGGCCTGACAATAGGATTAATTTAGCAAACCAGAGCGTTTTAATCCAGCCTACCTGTGCTGTCTTGGTACTTCCTGCTGCAGGGAGAAGGCTGGTGGAAGGGGGTACAGTCCTTGCTGCTGTATCTCAGTAGCCTCATTGAAATTAGCAGTTAAGCCATCCTTCCCCATCTGGAGCCCTGCAGGTACGTTGAAAGGTAACAGTTCCCATAATTGTTACCCATCACCTGGATGGGTTGGGACTGGTCACAGCTGGAATGAACTCACAGCAGCTCACAGCCCTGCTCTTTCGTTCACCTATATACTTCTCCTCTAGGGATCATAGAAATGAGGATTGGGCCAAGTCTTAATGGTCCTTTCACTCAAAGGCAGGCAAGCAGTTGAGATGTTGAAACCACATCTGATGCTATGGTATGCTGTTGTGTGAAAATGGAGCTGGTACCTATTTGTTTTGTTCTTCTGGATAGTCCCAGGTAATGGGAAAAGGTGATGGGCAGAGGAGGTCTAGCAAAGCTTCTCCCCCACCCTTAGGGCACTATGGAAGTTGGGGCTGGAGCCAGTCCCCAAATATTTTGTGTCTAGAAGGAAAGATCAGGCAAGTGATCAAGGGAAGCCTTTGTTCTTCTCACTTGGAAAAATGAAGGGCAGCAATGGTGACAATCAACTTCTACTGACATCTGACTGCCTGCTCCCTCTGGGTTGGGAGTGGGGTATGCTGGAATGATTGCCACGATTATACTGATGGAAAAGATAGGGAGCGGAAAGAAAATAAAGAGCTGTTCCTTGCAGTTGTCATTTGTTGGTTTTCTGCTTCCTGTTGAGTTGGGAAAAGAGCTAAGAAGTGTTTGGCTCAAGTAGAAGACAAATCAGAATCTCTTAAAAGACATTATGGCCTACACGTACACCTTTTGGAAGAGCTAAGGCCTTGGGGATGCAACAAGGTCTGGAGTCTGCAGGAAAAGGTCTTGACATTTTTATGCACTGTAATGGTCTTTTGAATCAGTGTGTGTGTGTGTGTGTGTGTGTAGAATAGATGTTGCCATTTAAATAGCTGGAGAAAAATGTAGGTTTATTGCCCCTAGAATGAGCACTGAGACTTGGGTTGTAGGCCACTGTGTATCAAATCTACATCTATTCCAGTAGAGATTACTGCTTTTCTCTCCCATCTGTTTTTTTTTCCCCCTGTTGGGGAGAGAGCATTCATCATTTAAGAGATATTTTTTAAAATGCCTTACAAAACCCTATAATAAGAGATATTTTCATGAAGGAAGACTGTTCATGTATCTGTAACTTTACTCATGAAAAGTGCACATGAGCTTCCCTCAACTTTGTATGCTCCATATAAATGTAATTACTCATTTCAGATGGTTGATATAGGTAGCTAAGGATTGTGTTAACTGTAATGCAACACACTGGAGGATATCAGGCTAGGAAAAGTTATTCTACATGTTTATAAGTCTTTGTATCTGTACTGGGAATATGATTCCAAACTTGTGTAAGATTAGATCATATATGTTGATCTTCTGATGTATTGCATCTACCATGAAGGAGATCAGGGAGGGGTAACCAGGTTAGTCTTGTTGAGTAAAAGCAAAAAAAAAAGAAAAAGTTATATGATGCATAACAACTAACAAATATATTATTGCATAAGCTATGAACTGGAATAAGATTCCAAACTTATGCAATAATTCATTTGTTAGTCTTTAAGATGCCAGAAACTTTGTTATTTGGTTTGGGTGTTATCTAGTAGCAGGCTAAAGTACCTATTGGGCAAGGGTTGGTTATCATTTGAAAATTGAGGCACAAATCTAAATTAGGAATAGTACAAATTTTCAAAAGCATTAACAGCAAGAACACATAATGTAAGGGAAAAAATAAATACTGTCACTGATAGATTTATTGGTTTGGATTTATTGTTATGGATTTATTGTTTTAGGGCACTATGACCATTAATCAAAGTGGTTGTGGATGATGGGAGCTGAAGTCTAAAAAGATTTTAAGGACCATTTTCTCCTGTTTCTGATACAGAAAATCTCTACTTGCATTTAAATTAACATTGGGCCCAGTATGGTTCCTGAGCAACAATCTTGCGTCTGAGAGCTGTGTAGGAAAAGTGAAGGATTGTAAATATTTTTTTGTCCATGTGATTTTATTTAATTGCTCTAATAGTTTATGTAATGCACTAGGCATCCTTTCCTTCTGACTTGGATTTCCATTAGGAATGGGATATATTAATATGTGTATATATGTGTGAGAGATGGACATAATAGTTTTGATATTGTTTAATTCTGCAGTTTGCAGGGATTCCTTATAACAAAATCTTAATGATTTATATTTGTTTAAAGTCAGCAAGGAATTGAAATGTACTAGTGTGGTATGTTTGCTCTGTATCTGTTGTCATTTCAGTCACTTCTAGAAGTATTAATTTTCTGTTCCACTTCAGAAGCTAGTAGAGATAAGTTTAAAGTAATAGGAAGTCTTTCAATTAGTTGTGGCTAATTCTGTTCAATTGCCTCTTCTGGAAGCTGTCCTTGCTTATTGAAAAAAAGACACTGGTGTATTCATACCATATGTTATGGCATATGGGATTAACTATGTATGATTATAGCTGTGAATGTCTACTCAGAAGTAAATCGCCCTGTATTCAGTGACTCTTATTCCTAGGTAAATATATGCATTGCAGCCTTAGAAAAGGGAGACTCAAGGAATGTAAACATAAAATAAATATTTATTTGGTAAGTTACAACTGATATAAAGATCAACTTGCATAATTGGGCTTTTTTTTTTTTTGGTACTTTTAATTTAAAAAATCTTCAAATTGTTTTAACTAAGACTATTATATGCAGACTGTAAAAATCCAGATAACTACTAGATAGGGGACAAAGAGACACAAACCAGTCCAGATATGGTAGACCTAGTTATATACAACATTTGAACAAAAGCTTCTTAAGGTTTATAATATGTAAATCAAGTATCCTGTCACAAAGTGTGCAGTATTTAAGCACTCTTTATCAGGCAAGATCTTTCTCTCCCTGATTAAAAACAAACAAACAAACTAAACGAAAAAACCAAATGGAAGGAAAAAATTGGCAGATGTTCAACCATGTCTGCATTTTATTGCAGTTTTAGATGGAATGTGGGAGTAGATTACAGACATGCAAATAGTTTTTTCAGGTGCTTTCAGTAGTGTCAGATTGCACCAGTAGTCTCCTAAGGATTTCTGGGAAGAAGAAACAAGCATGCAATGGTTTTCCGCTCCCTTTTTTGAAAATATAAAATCCAGCTGTCTGAATGTCTCCCAATCCTTCAGTGAAACACCCCAGTTTCTAGTTAAGTGGAGAGCAGAGGAAAACAACATAAATATGTCCATGGAAGTCATCAGGAGCCAAGCTTGACTTGAGGGAGACTTTACCTAAGGCAGTCTGGGTGTTTATGAATATTTTAGGTATTTTATTGGGGAAGAGGAAAAGCAACAGCCATGTCTGCAAATAAAACCCCCTGAACACAGAGGGGCTTAATTCTGAGTAGACACATTTTAGCACTGCATCATAAATACATGTTTTCCTGGATAACCAATTTTATGTGTAGGAAACTGGTAAAACCAACATGGGAGGTGTGTAGCTATTAATTCATAGACACTAATTAGGAATTAAAGCTTTAAAAAAATCTTGTCCTTTTCAAATGGATGTTGGATTAACCAAAACAAGAACAAAGTATTTTTGTGACAGTTAATTTAGTGTCTGTTAAAACAAAGAGATCTTTTGTGGTTGCAGAAGCATGGAAGCTTTCTAATTGGATTTCCCCTGGAGAGGCAAATTGTCCATATGTACACTCACATTCCTTTACAAGAAGTGTGAAAAATGGACTCCACTTGTGTAAATAAGCACTTGGCCTTTTGTAAGGAACCCTGCTGTGATCACTCACGGGCAGCTGTGTCACTTGTTCTTAAACTCACAGGATGACATCTTTGTAGGTGTCATCAGACCATGTGGTCTGGTAGATTTTGTGACAAGTTTCTTTTGTTGAAGTTAAATGCCTTCAGCAGTTCCTGTTCATTTCTTGCTTTTCATGCCCTTAAGAAAAGCAGGCAAACAGGCTCCCCCCCCCCCCCCCCCCCT